CCGCCCCAAAAACACAGCCCCTTCCTTCAGTGTTCCCTCTAAAGCCCCGCCCCAAGAACACAGCCCCTTCCTTCAGTGTTCCCTCTAAAGCCCTGTCCCAAAAACACAGCCCTGCCCTTCAGTGTTCCCTCCAAAGCCCCATCCCCAAAACACAGCCCTCCAGCCCTTGGTTCCCTCCAAAGCTCTGTCCGACAAAAAACACAGCCACTACCTTCAGTGTTCCTTCCAAAGCTCCACCCCCAACAAACACACGCATTTACACTATCTGGAACTCCTGAATGCTGGTGTTAATTTAGTTGTAATCAATTGCCACAAATAAAATTATGACATAAACAGACAAAAACAGCTAATTAGCTAATGTTAGCTAACAGAAAAGCTAGCTAACTTTACCCTTGTAGAACACTGTTAACTTCATAGAGGCTAATATCTCTGTAACTAATTCTTAGCTAGCGCTCCAGCATAAGCTGGCTGAAATATTTAAATGACAACTACATTAGGCACCTAACCAGCTAACATTAGCACTGGGTACTTGCTGAAAAAACACAACAGTGTTTTTTTCCTGAGATATGTGACAGAACCAAGCTATGTTTTCATTAATTTAATGCATTTTTGACTTAAAATTAAAACTATTGTATTACATCAGTACATAGTGATGTTATTACGACATCATCGTGTGTGAAATAACAGCGACTGCTTTAAATATGAGTTGCCTTACATACTTAATTCTATCAGAGAAAAAGGCTAGCCTAGCTAGCTAATGTTGTAGAATTATCTGATTTATGAGTCCAACTCAGCTTAACGCTAAACAATACATGTGCAGGCTAACGTCCTTTACTAAACTTTTAAAGCAATAAAAAGAAACATGAATATTTACATGTTTACACCTGCTACAACCTGTAAAGTATTTTGTTAGGAAAACATATTGGGACTGTCATTATGTCTGTGTTTTTTTAGGAATATGTTGACATTGCGCCCAAAGACGAACAGTCACAAGGAGACCTGAGTGTTGGAGGACTGGCAGGTTTCCAGTTCAGCTGTTACGGTAATGAGCAGTCAGACTACAGACCACAACAGAATACTGATCAGAATAACTATGTCTGCTTTGGTATTCAAAAACTCAAGAAAAAAAAACTGAAGGAAATTTAGCAGCCAGTAGCAGTCACACAACACAGGACAGTTATAATAATAAGGGTGAAACAATATAAAAAGAAGAATATACACAAAAAACTGTCTACAGGCATATATACAAATGGAAAAATATAAAAATCTGCAATAAGATCTATAACCTGAGACAAAAAAGGCAGTGCAATAATGACTGTACAATGAGGCGCAGGTAACAGCACATAAAGACAATACTGAATAAAGGTGTCTAGATGTGGAGTGTCCAGATGTGCAAGATGCGCGATAATGTGTGCAGAAAGTGGAATATGTATGTAAGTTGTCCATATGTGCATTTTCTGTTGCATTAACTTATGGTCTTGCTGATGCTACCTTATAACTGATTGCTGTTATTGTTATCTTGGCTGACTGTCTGAATCAAGTAGTCATTAATGTTTGCAGAGAAAAATGCTAAGACAGCCTTACATAGCTAAGATAATCTGATAGATGCAGAAAATCAGATTGTGTCAGAAACTGGTTCAGTGTGTTTTCATGCTCTTGGGTAATCAGATAAAAGGCAAACAGCGCAGACTGAGAGAAACAAAAGAAAGCAGAGTAAGGGGTTTACATGCACTGAAGAACCCCATTACTGAGCTCAAATCCAGCCTCTTTATCAGATTTCTTAATCAGATTTAAAGACCTAATCCGATTTTAGAAATCAGAGTATGCTGTTCACTTGACCATTTAATAATCAGATAACTGCAGAAATATGATTATGATCTGATTATAAAGTGCATGTAAACACACTCAGTGTTTGTAGTAGATTGTGCATTAATTTAACTGATCATGTGTGTGGCAGATTAATTGTTAATGAGGCTTAAATATCCAGTGATATTATATTAAAGTGACAGTGCAGTGAGAAATTTAGTTTTTTTTTTTATTTTCAGTGTAATTGATCAGGCAATTAAAATGGACAAAAGTACCTATTCAGGAGTCAAGACAGCTTCTGCATGTTTTTCAGGATGTGTTTATTACTTGTTTGCTAAAACTAAAGCAAACATGCTTTTTTGTGTCATTAATCACCAAACTACTCCTTTAACTGAAGCACATGCATAAAACCCAAACAGAATTCATGTTATGAGAGAAGAATCGACTTTGACTTTAGTTTAGTACGTTTGACCTCTCGTTTCATTTTAGCCTTTTCACTCACACACTCTCCTGACAGCAATGACCCCCCCCCCACTGCACCCACACCCCCCCTCCCGTCCTGACCGCTGTAATGAGGTTCTGAATCTCGCCCAGGCTGTGTAAGTGCAGCCATTTGACGGGTTGCCAGATTGGCTGCTTCAAACAAACACAGGCACCTGCTTTTAATGATGTTCAGAATCAAAAGGATTGAAACTTTCTACATGTTTAAATGTGTGTTTATTCAGGCTTCTGTGCTCTGCTACATCATGGCTCATCACACAGACAGCCCACTGTTACATGCTCACAGCGTCTCTGCACTTAAATCAGCTGAACTCAGTAGCCGAACTAATCAGTTAACCAAGTATTTTGTTTGCCATATGAGGAAATATGCACAAATTGCACATTAAAAATTTCACATTTTTATTTTATTTGCTATTTCATTATCTTTTATCTTTTGCTTGTGAATTTTAATTTTTGATTCATATTAGATCTAAATGTTTTGTCAACTCTTTGGTGCTTTGTAAAAGTTTGCTAGCAAGGACTGATTAACAGTTTAGAAGTTACTGTTACTCCAAAGTAAGATTTTATTCAGTTCTGGCTGCTATTCAGGAGCGAAAGGAGTGGTGCTCTTCCTCATTCAGACTGCTGGAAATGACTCACAACTGCATTTCTTACTTCTTCTGCTCTTCTTACATCTTTGTAACAATCCTGCAAAAGCCTTTCTGAGTTGCTGGATCTCAGGATGTTACAATCTGTACTATTCTTCTCTCAGCCTCGGCTATATTCCAAAGTTTCTTAAATTAGCTGTAATTAAACCCCTAATTAAGAAACCTAATCTTGATCCCTCTGAGTTATCAAACTTTAGACCTATTTCAAATCTTCCCTTTTTATCAAAAATTTTAGAGAAAGCCGTGGCAAAACAATTATGTTCCCATCTGCATAGGAGTGATATACATGAAAAATTTCAGTCTGGCTTCAGGCCTCACCATAGTACTGACACAGTGTTAGTGAAAATTGTGAATGAGCTTTTATTATCCGCTGACAAAGGAAACATATCCCTACTCATTCTATTTGATCTTAGTGCAGCTTTTGACACAATAGACCATTCCATTCTATTAGACAGGCTTGAAAAGCTAGTAGGAGTGACAGGTAAAGCTCCTTTGTGGGTCAAATCTTACCTTAGTGATCGCTATGAGTTTGTTAATGTAAATGGTGAACAATCAGCTCTCACAAGAGTAAAGTATGGTGTTCCACAGGGCTCTGTCTTAGGACCTATATTATTTACCTTATATATGCTACCACTAGGTACCATCATTAGAAAACATGGCATCAGTTTCCACTGCTACACCGATGATACACAGTTGTATATTTCAGCTAAACCAGAGGACAAAATTGATCTTAATAAGATAGAGGACTGTGTAAAAGACATTAAAGACTGGATGTCAAGTAACTTCCTCTTACTAAACTCGGACAAAACCTAAGTTCTTCTTCTTGGTCCAAAAGCTGCTAGGAATAATCTGCCTATGTTTACTCTAAATCTCAATAGTTTCTCAATTGCACCTGGCACATCTGTAAAAAGTCTTGGTGTCACGACCGATCCCGATCTGGCCTTCGATGAGCATATTACCAATATTACCAGAATAGCTTTCCTCCACCTGCGTGACATCGCTAAATTAAGAAATGCACTGTCGATACAGGATGCAGAAACGTTAGTTCACGCCTTTATTATGTCCAGGTTAGATTAATGTAACGCTCTGCTTTCTGGTTGTTCCAGCCAAAACCTTAACAAGCTTCAGTTAGTCCAGAACGCTGCAGCCAGAGTTCTCACCAAAACCAGGAAATTTGACCACATTAGCCCAATTTTGTGTACCTTACATTGGTTGCCAGTTAAATTCCGCATTGAGTACAAAATTCTTCTGCTGACGTATAAAGCTCTGAATGGCCTTGCTCCTCAGTACCTCAGTGACCTTATTTCCTACTATCAACTGATACGCCCACTTAGATTACAAGGTGTGGGCTCATTATTAATACCTAGAATTAATAAAGCTACGCCCCCCAGCTTTGGAATAACGTACCAGTCAGTGTTCAGGACTCAGACACAGCCTCCATCTTTAAATCTAGGCTAAAAACTTACCTGTTTAGTCGAGCGTTTGGTTAATTAGTTTTCCTGTTAGAAAAAGGTGCAGACCTGGGGGTTCACGGACAGAGAGTCTTATGGTAATCTGGCAATGTTGGTGCTGTCGTCCCACTGCTCAGTCGTCCCACTGCTCTTACGCGTTCACTCAAGTTTGTTGACGATGGAGCAGAGGGGTGCTGACTTCTCAGGGAGCCCTCATGTCCTTGTAACCTTCTGGCTCTCCCTCTTAGTTATGCTGCCATAGCCAGGCCTACCGCTGCGCTCTGTCAACTCTCTGTTCTGTTCGGTCACCCATGACAGAACTAACTATCTGTCCCCCTTATCCCCCTCTCTGGTCACCCACTCCAGTTCTGTTCGGTAACAGAACTAATAAAAAGTAGTAGTAGTAATAACTGTAGTAATGAAAAATAAGTGAAGGCAAGGTAAACAAGGTAACAAGTTTCTTCCTCACTTTCACACAGAGATTCAGGTAACATCACTGAGGTCAGACGAGGTCAGAGTGGGAGGAGCTTCTCTGGAATGTGTGGAATGGTGGGAGGGGTTCATGTTGTATATGGGCAGGGTTGTTCGGTCAGTAGGCGGGGCTGTGGTCTGTACAGAGAGAGTCAGAGCAGCAGAAGCTCAGTGAGACTCGCTCTGGATTTACTGGATTTATCATCTCTGAACATCTGAACACACTGGAGTTTATTCTTCACCATTTACATTCAGACATGATCCGGATTAATCTGACTGGATTTAATATCGCATGTGGATTTACGTGAAGATTTTGCTGTGCTGGTGTTGAAGACTCAGCAGCTCCAGAATGGTAACATTAACCTTCTGATCAATAACACAGTAATACTGCAGCAATACTGCACATTATCCAACCAGAATAAAGTAATAACACAGTAATACTGCATATGATACTACAGTAATACTGCCATAATATTATAATAATGCCACAGTAATATAATAGTAGTACTACAATAACAAAGTATTGCTATAATGATACTACAAAATTACAATAATACTATTGTAATGCAATAATTATAATAATACAGTACCACTGCAGTACAGAATATGCATAATTATAGTTTACTACAGGATATTACAGAAGTATTATAGATGACTGTAAGAGCACTATAGTAACATTGGAGAGAATATTACAGAGTATTACTGTGTTATAATGTAATAATTTCTTGTATTTCTGCAGTTTAGTTTTGTAGCAGTATTCTAATTACAGCAGACTAAATTCTAAACCTGATTTTAACTGAAATCTGTAGCTCTTTAGTGAATATAATCTGCACTGCGGTGGATGTTAAAGGTTTAAATACGGCTTTATTTATTTATTTGAAGATCACTGAGAAAATAAATGCATTTAATAAACTATATTCAAATGTGTAGATGTCCACTTGATCTACATGAATCAGCTGGTGAAAAAGCATAAACTGAAAGGTTAAACTGTATTAATGTGAAATATTATATCGATTTGGAAATGGTGGACACATTAGAATCAAATGAACAAGATTCAGATCATTCAAATCTGATTCTTTAGGAAATGATTCAGTGAATCATGCTGTCTCACATTTCAGCACGTTTACACTTTTCTGACACGACTCAAATTCAGATGGTTTTTAATGTTTTATGCTCAAAACAAATTTATCAACACAGTAGTTTACAGATTAAAAATATGTTGATGAATTAATGTATTCATTTTTGGCAAATAAAATCAAATCAACACACATCAATTCACACCATCAGTCAGTATAAAGAACCAGTTCTCTGTTTCTAAATGAGCTTCAGATCAGAGTCACATACAGACGCATTATCTGCTCAAACCATAACTCTGACCTTGGGGTTCACTGTTTGAAGACAGCAGCATCTTTAACATTTACATCATGTAACTAACATTAGCTAGCTCGCTGCTAACAGTTCTACATGGAGACATCTGTGTTTTCCCCACTTTATAGCTCAAACATGCAAAGGTCAAAATGAACATGATTCTGAGCTCCGAATTCCCATCTCCAAACCAAGCTGAACACAGCAATTGACCTCTCATTTTTCACAGTACAGGGGCGATGCCCCAGAAATTGTTTTTGCCATTTTTCCCAATTTTATCAGTTGAGTCTAATCCACCCATTATCTAGGACTCCGATAGAACAGTGGTGCTGATAGGAACCAGGGGTCGCCATGACTACAACACAAATATAGACATTTTATTTACTCCCCAAAACCACCAGTGAACCTACACGCGTCTTCTGAGTTTTATAGGGAATGTTGATGATGGGAAAATAGTGGAAATATTTTGCCTCAGAACACCCTGCATATTATGTATCCCTGCACCATGAATGGATTTTAAGATTCTAAAATCTTCTCAAACTATCCTACAACAGTGTCTCAGTCATCAGGCAGTGTATTCATAAACGTTTCATGTAATAACTTTCTGTGAGGGAGCTTTTAGAGATGGACATCTGGTTCCTATCACCACCACTGAGAAAAATTCTGACTCTGCAACATTCTCTACACCAAACTGGGTGACTCTGAATGACTCTGTTTACATCTTAACCACTCAATTATATAATAAGTTAAATTTCAAAGGAAATTCATCTTTGAAATCTGCCATCAACATTCCTAAACATTTCACAATAACGATAAAATATTGACACCCGCCGATCCATATTGTACATTTTTGGTATAATTTCTTGCTGATATTAAAGTGTATGTGATACGATGTTCAGTCTTCTCTGCTTAAGTTTAGTCTTCATTCTGAGAGCTGCAGAGCTATTACAGTGAGTAATATCACAGCTGTGATGATCTACTGATTCACCGTCAGCTCACATCTGTGACCCAATCACAGCCCTGATCATATTCACCATAACTCACCACCTCCAGCACCAGCAGACGTTCTACTCAGTTCTCCTCCACAGTGACGCACAGAAGTGCTAACAGGTCACAGCCTAAAGATACCTTGGAGCTAAAGTCAGAAATAGGAGCCGGAACAGCAGCAGATTGATTACAGACATGCAGTGAGAGCTGTGATTTATTAGATAAGGAGCTTCTGCAGCTTTTGGTTAGAGTTACATTTACTCAGAGTCACAGAAACAAATAATAACAAGAAAATACAGGGAATACAGGGTTTCAGCTCCTGCTGCGTCACCTTTAAACAAAATAAACCCCAAAACTCAAAACCTCTACATTTATAAACTCTTCAGAAAACAAGCCCAGTCATTAGTGTGGGTGTGTCCACAGCACGAGCCCCGCCCCCTTTAACTTTACATTTACTTAACTTTACTCTGATTGACTGCAACTGAATGTGCAACCAGTTTTGATCAGTACAACTGAACAAGACAGAATGCAAAAGAAGAAATGCTAACATGCTAGGCTAACTCAAACCGGTATTGTTAATGCTAGCTAGCTAAAGAAGCACCAAGCATGTCTTAGCTGATCGTGAAGTAATGGAGGAAATTCCAATTCCTTTAGTGTGGGATGAGCTTATCTGGAATGTGTGATTGATGGGAGGGGTTAAAGTAGCGCAGGGGTGGAGTTTATCAGTCATGTGGGTGGGGTTAGGAGCTCTGTACAGATCTTTAATTTTGCACTTCACACATTGGTTTAGCTTGAATAAATAAAGGTTCACAGCATCAAATAAAAGTCCATAGCATAAGCCCCACTTCCCCGCCCACTTTACTCTGATATCCTGTCTAGTTTTCATCATTAACAGCAGTTTCTGTGAAAGAGAGTGAGTGGCATACTGACTAAACAGTATATTTACATACACCATTTGTACAAAATAATTTCTGCTATTTTATCATCAATAAATGATTGACCGCTAAACATATTCTCTTTGTTCGCAGCCGATCCACTCACACAAGGCATCTCTGGACCCCCAAGTGAAATGGAGTTAACTTCACCCCCTGGAAATTCATCAGGCACCGTGCCAGCACTTCCATTCTCCAACCTGAGCGAGTTTGAGGGGCACATGACCCTGGCATTACACACTGCTAACACTAACGATAACACTAGTTTGGACAGGCCAGCGCTGAGCGGGCCAATAGTGGCCTCGCTGTCCATGACCCTCGGCGTGCTCTCCAACATTGTGGCACTGCTGATCCTGGCGAACTCCTATGCCCGCCTGCGGCGTCGCTCCAAGGCCGCCTTCCTGCTCTTCGCCACCTCGCTGGTGGTCACTGATTTCATGGGTCATGTGATCCCTGGTGCCATTGTGCTGAAGCTGTACCTGTCAGAAGGAGTGCCGGCAGCGCAGTATGCCAGGCCGGATGCTCTGTGCCAGTTTCTGGGGGGCAGCATGGTGTTCTTTGGGCTGTGTCCGCTGTTTCTGGGCAGCGCCATGGCAGCTGAGCGGTGCCTTGGGGTCACCAGGCCGCTGCTCCATGCCTCTCTGGTCAGCGCAACGCGGACTAAAGTCTCTCTCTCCATCATCTGGCTGGCAGCGCTGTGCGTGGCGCTGCTGCCCTGCTTCCAGCTGGGCTCCTACAGCTACCAGTACCCGGGCACCTGGTGCTTCATCAAGGTTCTGGAGGACACGGCAGAGGCGGATGTGGCATTCGTGCTGCTGTTCTCCAGCCTCGGTTTGGGCTCTCTGGCCTTAGCGCTGGTCTGTAACACCGTCAGTGGACTCACACTGCTGTTCGGCAGGATGCGGAAGCAACGGTGCAACCGACAAACGGCCAAATCTCATGATATAGAGATGGTGGTGCAGCTGGTTGGCATTATGGTCACTTCCTGCATCTGCTGGAGCCCTCTGCTGGTGAGTCAGGCTGTTTAACTGCATCAGGCTATGATTGCTGGAATAAGTAGTCTATAAATAGTCATACAATGATATTTGGTAAAGTATGCGCTCATTTTTCACTGAGGTAAAATGATTGTGCTATTTTTATAGATAGAAAAAAATAAATAAAAATTTTGAAATGTTAAATTATAAATAGACTATAATGATATTTAATAATACTTTCACTTGTTTTTGACCAACATTTACATCATTGTGCTATTTTTACAAAGAAACTTCCCCCATAACTGAGTGTGTGAGGTGTAAACAGAGTGATTCAGAGTGGTTTGGTGTGAAATGGTGCAGGTTTCCTTACAGTGTTGGTGATAGGAACCAGGGGTCACCATCACTACAACACAGATATAGATAATTTATTTACTATCCAAAACCACCAGGGAACCCACACATGTTTTCTAAATTTTGTATGGAATGTTGATGATGAGAAAATAGTGGAAAATCTGAAGTAATACATTTTTTTTGGCGACTATTTTGCCTCACAGCACCCTGCATATTATGTATCCCTCCACCGTGAGTGGATTTTAAGGCCAAAATCTTCTCAAAACTATCATAAATTAATATCTCAGACATCAGGCAGTGTATTCATGACCATTTCATGTAATAACTTTCTGTAAGGGAGCTTTTAGAAGTAGACTGCTAGTTCCTGTCACCACCACTGTGAACAATTCGGACTTGGTAAGTTTCTCTAGAATGTAGTGTTTCACACTAAACCACTCTGAATGATGTTGTTTATGTCTTAACCGTTTAATTATGAAAAAAAGGACAATGGCCGGGGTTACCTTTTATTTAAGGAGCGAGCAGTGAGCCACTGATAAATATGAACAACAAAACATAAACAAGTATAGTAATGAGTAAATATAAAAAGGTATATTGGTCAGTTATTGCACTTGTGTAAAAGATGCTGAATGAATACTGCACTTGGGTTCTGTCCTGTATGTGTTGACGCCCTCTACTGGTGAGTTGGAGTTTTGAAAGTGTTTAGATCACACAGTTTCTCACTGTGAGGAGCCACAATACCACTGATACAGTCGCTGTCAAACATTTGGAGATTGAATGTATTTTTTAAAATAATTTCAAAGACAGAAAAACATTATTCGTAAATCAAAATGTCTTTGAGAAAAGCATTCTAGATATCTCCTCATGAAGCTCCCTGAGAGAACACCAAGAGTGTTTAAAGGCAAGAGAGTTTGTTGAACATGATCAATGCATAATTCCATATGTGTTATTTCATAGTATTGATTAGCAGGTGTCCAAACCTGTTGCACTGTAAATGTTTGATAACTGAAGGCTTTGTGATGTTGTGCATTTGGTTATTTTTAGATTTTCGGCCTCATGTCTGTAACGCACTCCTATGAGGGCTCTATTGGAGATGACCTCGCCACCTACAGGACGCTGATGATAACAGGTGTCCGTCTGGCCTCCTGGAACCAGATTCTGGACCCGTGGGTTTATATCCTCCTCCGGCGGGCTGTTCTACGCAAGATCTACCTTGTCACCAAACGACAGGTGGACCTGAGCAGCATCCGCCGCTGGGAGCCCAACTCTCTCCACAGCGCTGAGAAAACCACCATCAGTAACCAAGTCTGACCACAGGGGGCGCTCTTAGAGAAAAACATGGTCAGTAACCAGATCTGGCCACAAGGGGTGCTCTCAGAGCAAAACAACGTCAGTAACCGTGCCTGACCACAGGGGGCGCTGTCAAAGAAAAACAATGTCAGTAACCATGCCTGACAACAGGGGGTGCTCTCAGAGAAAAACACGGTCAGTAACGGTCTGACCACAGGGGGCGTTCTCAGAGAAAAGCGCGGTCAGTAATGGTCTGATTACAGGGGGCACTCTCAGAGAGAAACACGGTCAGTAATGGTCTGATCACAGGGGGTACTCCCAGAGAAAAACATTGTCAGTAACGGTTTGACTACAGGGGCGCTTTTTGGGAAAACTCTGTCAGTTACTGGGTCTGTTCACAGAGGCCACTCTCTGTAGTTAATCAGAGAAGCCATGTTTAGAGCAAAACAGCGTCAGTAACCGTGTCTGACCACAGGGGGTGCTGTCAAAGAAAAACAATGTCAGTAACTGGGTGCTCTCAGAGAAAAACACGGTCAGTTACGGTCTGATCACAGGGGGCGCTCTCAGAGAAAAACACGGTCAGTAATGGTTTGATCACAAGGGGGTACTCCCAGAGAAAAACATTGTCAGTAACGGTCTGACTACAGGGGGCACTTTTTGGGAAAACACTGTCAGTTACTGGGTCTGTCCACAGACGGCACTCTCTGTAGCTAATCAGAGAAGCCATGTTTAGTGTCGGAAGTTTGCTCCTGTAATTGTAGCACTGGAGTTATGAGGCTAATGTAGCTAACAAGTAATGAAAGTTTATGCCCCACCAGCTAGCGCTGTGCTAACTGCATGTCTGAATCATCACACTGTTATCTATAAAAATAGACAAAAGTATGTTAGCATATCTAAAACTGTAGCAGTCATTCTGAAGTCTGAATTTAGTCTGTACTTTAGTCCATGTTTATAGATATCAGTGAGTCAAACAGTGTCAGAAAACATATAATCAATATTAGAGATACTAAACAACTCCACATGTAAATGATGCATGTATGCTGTCAGCACTAGACTAGTGAGCATAAACAATTCTAATTGTTAGCTACATTAGCCTTGTAGCTCCAGTGCCAAAACTAAAGAAACAACTGAAGTGAAGCAGGTAGGTTTTCTGGTGTAGATATTGTCTATTTCAGATTTCAGCCTTTAACAAAGCACACCTTATATGATGTAGCAATAAAAACATATTAGCCTACAACTATAGTGTTTTAAACTGATCTAGGATCAGATTTTCTCTTCTCAAAGCTAATGTTTATCACTGTAGTAGTACTATAAGATTGAATGTTTCAGATGTTTAAGATGTAAACAAAGACGTTCAGAGTGGTTTGGTGTGAAATGCTCCATAATAAAGAAACTTACTGAGTCAGAATTGTTCACAGTGATGGTGAAAGGAACCAGACGTCCGCTTCTAAAAGCTCTCTCACAGAAAGTTATTACATGAAATGGTTATGAATACACTGCCTGACGTCTGAGACATTGTTTTATGATAGTTTTGAGAACTTAAACTCCACTCACGGTGGAGGGATACATGCACGGTGCTGTGAGGCAAAATAGTCCCCAAAGAAAATTTATTATTTCAGATTTTCCACTATTTTCCCATCATCAACATTACATATAAAACTCAGAAGACACATGTAGGTTCACTGGTGGTTTTGGATAGTAAATAAAATGTCTATACTTGTGTTGTAGTGATGGCGACCTCTGGTTCCTATCACCAACACTGTAAAGAAATCTAAACCATTTCACACCAAACCACTCTGAATCACTCTGTTTGAGTGATGCAGAAATTCCAGAAATTGTGTGAAATTAGCTATCTTACGTTCACTCTTTCCACCAGTCTCTTGGAAAACTGAGCAAGTTTTCACGTTTGCAAATATGGCATATTGTAAAGTTTTTCAGACGAATCCACGACATATTTACAGTTTCTAGGCTATGAAGGACCAATTGGGTCAATCAGTCTGCTATAGTGCCACCCTGAGGCAGAGCAGTGCTGCAGCTCTAGTTAGCTAAAACACCAAAGACAGAAGCTGATTGTGGATGAAGCAGATAAACAATGAGCTTCACTGAATCTGTATGTAAGTGTCTATTTCTTGATTTTGAGACATTAAGGGGGTCCAAGAGATTAATTCTGGGGTCCTGAACCCCCCAGGGCCCCCTGTATTTAGTACATTGGGCCCATATTAGCAGCTCTGGGTATGAGCTAGTTTTCTCTTTGGGAGGAAAATGGGCAGCATGTTAGAAAACCGCTGTGATAAACCTGATCAATTTTGCTGCACATACTTCTGAAGTACAAAGTTGTTAAGGAGCTGAAATAGGAACGATGTTACATGTAAGCTAACATGGCTGCATGCTGATGACTGACCTCACAAAAATAACCCAAACGTGTCCAGTGAGGTTGTTTAGAGGCATTTATCAGTTTAAGGGTGCAGTTTGAGCAGCTAGTGTTGGAATATAACAGTGTTGGGGTTTAATAGTAGGCTCACTTTCATGCAACATCATTTCAGTGCTCGGAAGTGTTAGCTGTTAGCATGTAGCATGGATGTAGCATTATTCTTTTTTGGGTTTCTTAAGGATTCTTGGAGGAAAGACAAAGTGTACATGGATTGGTACATGATTTGTATTGATGTTATTTTGGTGTTATTGTAATATTTCTTCAGCCTCATCAGTTTAACATAATTCACGATTTTACATCATATTCATGTTTTCTCATTACAATACCCAGCAAGCATTATGCAAGTATGTCATACAGCCATTGGGAATCCCTGTGGTGTCACCTAATCCTGACTGACTCAATGGCTAGGCTAGTAACAAGTGATATTCAGCTTCCTAGCTCTCTGGTTTTCTTCCTCAGCTAGCTAATTTCAGATGTCCTTCCCCAGAAATCCACGCTGAAGCAGCTCACCTTCAACATACATCATCAGAAGGTACTTTAGTCTTTAAACTGGAAAATATCTCTACATTAATAGTCATGTGGCACCACTGTAGGAGGAGAGTGGGCGAGTTTACAGCAGACGAAGTGATGATTACATCTTTTTTTTTTTTTTTGGGCCAGAGTTCTCCTTTAATCAGTTAAACATTTTTAGCCTTGTACATAAGAGCATATATGTGAAAACTGTAGCTAGAAGGGAAGACCATGTTTTCCTCTGTGTTCAGTATGTATATCGTATGGTATGTATATGTGTTATTTATAAGTGATCCATGTTTGAAGGCCTCTCTGATTAGAGAGAAGAGAAATGTAATATATTTATTAGCCAGACGTCTCAGCAGGTGTGTGGAGACATTTCTGAATTATTATTCAGAATCTGATTATCTGATTATTTTTCTGTGAAATGTAGCAGATATAATAAAGCAGATAATCTCACTTGACTGCTGTTTTCTCTTTACATGTACTTATCTTACAAAATATGTAATTACATTAACATTTACTGTATTTAGCTGACACTCTTATCCAGAGCGACTTACAAAAGTGCTTTGTTATCCTCTCAGAGAATGAATACAAATACATTCAAACTGCCTTTCAGCTCAAACACTGCCAGAAAACAAAAGCTCCTGCTGATACCTAGAAAGAAAGATACACAATATAGAATTAAGACAAAGCATTTGTGCAAATTAAATCAATGCTAGATTAATGTAAATTCATCATCAAAATCATATATCTCATAGCAATCTACAATAACACTTATAACACTTCAATAGTACTGTTACTGTAGTATAATAATAGTCTAAATTTACTATTAGTTCCTTATAGGATTCCTGTAATACTGCTATTGACCTCTTTCAGAAGATCATGCTTGTGTATCTTGGAATTTTGGTTAATGTACAGTCTCTGTGGTGTCCACAAGCGTGAGAACACACTGAAAATCTGGGATTTTTTCATTTAAACTTGGAAACAAACAACAGAAAGTTTTAGAGTTTGAAAACTTTGAAACAAAGAGAAGTTCAAAATGTTTCTAAGTCACTATTCAAATTTAAATGAACTTGTGAATTTGTGAAAATGTTGAGGCCTAAAAAAGGTCTGAGTGTTTTAATCTGATCTCATCTTGTTCAGATGACTCTCAGGTGGATATGATCTGCTGATCAGAGACTTTGACACAAACTTGTGGAGTTCATGCAGTTCAAACACACACTGTCATGAATGGGAACAGAGAGATATCACCAAATATTGAGAATTTGTAATAAAACTCTGCATTAAATTAGAAAGCACTTTCCCCAGCGCTCTCAGACTTGGACCGTGAACACCAGCACAGTGTAATAAAATCAAATCAAATTCATCAATTTACACATTTTTTAAATGTGTAATGCTGGCGAGTGTTTAGTTCAGTGTGTTTCACTCATGCTGATCGTCTGTAAAACGCTTATTCAGTAATATTTGAGAATGAACTTCAGTGGCCGTCGATTAGCATTAGCATGTTGGGGGGCGGGGCGGCTGCCTTCACTCAAATTTCCGGTGGCCTGTCGCTGGACCGGAACAGGAAAAACAGTGTTGCAGGTTAGCTGAGCTAGGTTCAGCTAAGCTACAGTTGACTACGCAAAGATAAGCTGTATTTCAGCCTCTTTTCCGCACTACACGGTGAGTTTTTATTCAGTTTATGCTTGTTTTTATCTTAAAATATTCACGCGAGGTGTTTATTCTGTAAGGAGCAGGTTAGTTAAGGCTAATAAAGCTGCTAAAGGGAGAGAGAGGAGCCGCGGTGTATTTACTGTAGTACAACACTGAGGTGATTATGAAGGTCTGTTTCAGTGATTTACATACCGTTTTATTTTAAATCGCCTCAGCCGACACCCTGTTGTAGTCTAAATGTTTTGCTTTAATCGCATTAAACGGACGGAGCTGTTTTCTTATTCGAATTCCCTGTTCCACCTTAAATGTAGTTACATTCTGGCTATTCTGTCACTTCAGCCTGTGACTGCATCATTTAAGGTGGAACGGAGAATTCGCCCAGATGTGTTAGCTTCCCTTTTAAATTTAACCACCTGTTTTCCTTCAGATCCCCAATTCTTCACATTAGGAGCAGTTCAGGAAACATTCTGACGTTTCCAACAACGAATAAAAGCATAATTAATACAAATGACCTCAATGTAACTGGTGGCAAATAGCTTTCATTCATTGTTAGCTACCTAACAGAACATGCTGATTTAGAGCCTCTGTATTATATGGATATTAATAAACAACAGTGTTTGTAAGGCCAGCCTAAAGACAAAAAGAACACATCAAGCATACACTCCTAAAGAAAGATGGTTCTTCAAGGGTTCTTTAGTAAATGCAATGGTTCTGTTTAGATCCATGAACACTGAAAGAACGCTTTGCATGCCTACATGGTTCTCTGCATGGTAAAACGTTTCCTCAGATTGATGGAGAATGTGTTGTACGTGGTTCTATAGAAAACTTTATTAATAGTAATGCTGAACTTAATAGCAATAGCAGGACCCTTTGTGTGTGTGTGTGTGTGTGTGTGTGTGTGTGTGTGTGTGTGTGTTACACATTGTGAGCGTTAACCATTGAAGGGCCCGTATCCTACAAATTTCTTGTATTTGTCGTCTTTTACCTTTGTAATGTTCGTTTGTGTGTGTGTTTTTTTTTTTTTAACTGAGAACAGTCAGTTTTTACATGGCTCTCTGTATCCCTAAGAAATAAACAGTCTTCTGTTACTGTGCTTTTTGGACTGATATATACAAAATAAGCTCTGTTCTGATTGGCTGTGGCCCATTCAAGAAGCAGTCCAGGCTGAAACACGGCTTATAACTTCAGCGTGAGTGGGTGGAGCTAAACTGCTGAAAGCTGAATAGGAGAATATATGTTTAAAAATTGGTTGTTGGACCTGTAATAACAGTGAACAGTAAAAGTAAAAAAAAAGCAATTACTGTAGCTGCTTCTCTTAGGTTTGTTTTCTGTACCTGCAGGTACAGGAGACTTGAGTAGCGGGAGGACTTGCACCATGCAGAGGGAGAGATTTCCGCACCCTGCGTGGGACGAACACCAGGCGTACGAGGAGCTGCTGTACTGGGACAGTCTGATCCAGGAGGGACACACGCTGCACCCCCGTGATTATGACAGGTAATTACAGAACAGCAGCTGAGACAGGTGACAACAGACAGGCTCACTCACTGTCCTTACAACACATTTGTCATTGAGATGTAGATATGTTGGTTTGTCATGAGCTTTAGGGGTGTAAAATGTGTTGAAGGCAGAGTTTGTGAGTTAGGGGTGGGCCATATGGCAATATTTTAAGCTTTAAGGTGTTTTGCTGTGTTTCTCAGAGCTACAACTCCAGCCACACCTGGGATTTCATAAATTTCCAACCAAGCACACGTCAAGATCAAAATGGATCCTGTCAGTCTGAAGGGTAGAGGGTCCTG